TTCATGTGTCCCTCATTGCTTTGTTAGTTCAACTTACATGTTCTTGCGTCCCTCCATAGACTAGTCGAGCTATGCGGAGTGTGTTGACGGGTTCAGGCGTCCAGACGGCCTAGCCTTGTCCCCTACTGTGGCGGCGGGCCTGGGACGGCTCAAACAGGCACTCGTCGTGTTGGGGAGCTGAAGGTGCCACGTCTTCACAGGAATTGGAAGTGAGCGGGGCCTTGGCCAACGGAAAGCACACTCGCGGCTTTGACACGTAGGATTGGTGGGAGATGCAGGCCTCAAAGACACGAGGAGCCAGCACACCCCGCTTCAGGATGAAATCCCAACACTCTCAAAGTCTGTTGTGGCGTGGAGTTTACAGGCTTATAGTGCGTTTATAGGATTGAGGGGAGGCCGTTTGTGCATCTGTTGCTAGCTGAAGATCTTGGCGTTGTTCTACAGTTCGACTTGTACGGTGAGACCGAGCCGAAACCGGTACTATATCAACAGATCCCTGGGCTTCACTATTCCGACTGTACCAATGGAGCCATGAAAGGGTTACGAAGTGCTGGCCAGTCTTCGTCGCCCTGAAACTGCTCACCGCCGCAGGCCGGCTTCCAGATGGCCCGTGCCTACACAGCTGCACGGGCACCCAGCTTGACCGGGTACGGTTCTTGAATTCTGATCCCTCGTGCGTGAGAAAGAAACCCTTTGACTGCCGCCAGACTTTCCGGTCCCCGAGACTCCCGAGAGAAGAGACCCTTCTCGTTTCGGTGCTCCCAAAGCTCAGGAGATCCCTTCGTACGGTGGCCTGGCAGTCTTCGGCATGGCAAGCAACGGGGCCAGCCAGAACCCTGCTCAGATTTGGAATGTTCCCTTGTTGACACGTACCGTAGAGCAGAGGGAGTAGGCTTTGTAGGTTCAGTGTTTGTTGCCAGGAGGGTTCAGGATATCCAGTTGCCCATTGAGCTGGCTGTGTCGTCCTGGGGCTCGTGCTCGACTTCAGGGCACTTGTCAGCAGTGTGCAGAAAGTGTAACCACTGACCAGACAGTCAGGAGACGAGAAGCACCCTTCACGGCTCAGTCCGAAAACACTGGATCCGGGGCAAGCCATGAGCTTGAAGATACAAAGTGAATCAAGAACTGTCGTGTCTGTGCTGGCACAGAAGTGTAGGCCCTGGTCCCATTGAGGCAGGAGTCCTGTCTTGCCCTGCTGGCGTCCGGCGCCTGCAGAGTCACAGGCTCTTTGTGGCCTGTTGACAATGGGCTCGGGGGTGCCGGGCAACAACACCGAAGGTTGAGGTTCAGGGTCGTTGTGTTCGGACTTCAGGGCTGAGTCTAAGACTGTGTGCACTGTTTATACATATCTCCGGCCTTCCGATGTTGATGGCTTGTTGTCGAACTTTATGTCAGCCTCGCATGGATGTACAAGTACCATCGGAAACATCAAGCTGCACGGATTCGATGGCAGTCTACATGTATGCCATGTACGGCGATGTCGCACGTGAACTGTTGTGTGCAGTCTGAGTCCTGAGCAAAAGGACACTGAAAACAGCACACACCACAAGAAGCAAGCAGCAGCCCATTGTCCTATTCTGGCAGTGAAAGATTAATTGCAAAATAGCGTTGGTTCTTGTTAGGATTGAACAGGAGAAGTACTAACAACAATAGCTGTAATGCGGACAGCGCCAAGACCAGCCACGAGGGCTCACACTAGCACTTCTGGTTTTCATAGTGTGCATAGTGTCTTGCTTCTGCTTGCCCGCCCTACAGAGAAAATCATTGTATCGCGTGTTTCGCGCAGTGCTGGGCGGCTTGATGCAGGTTGAGGGTTTCAGGTTCTACGGTTTAGAGTTGAGGGTTTCGGGACTTATACAGGCTAAGTTTCAGGGTTGAGTGTCTTGGGGTTCAAGTTGGGGTTAATCGGCCGAGGTCACACGTAGGTTTCGGGGTATTTGGCGGGTACAGCCGGCACAACACAAATAGCTTTCTTCGACAACGCCTTCGAGGGAGCCTTGTGCATGGCCAGCTTAGGATTTCAACTCGAAAGCACTCCAAAAGGACGCGATGCACGTGCCCGAAGCAGCTATGAGACAGGTCCCTAAACCTGGTGTCGCAAACCTACCATGCCCAACCTCGAGTCTCACCTCAACGAGCTGCCAGGAAGAGCAGATGCTACAGAGGCCGGGAAGGGGCCCGGAATCATGGGTTGAGCTCGCAAGGCTTTCCGAGTTAAAGGCTTTCCTTTCTACGTCCGCACATGCATAAGCTTGCATGCTTTCTGTTAAACACCGTTACTCTTCAGCGGCTGGCAACACCAACTTCAACAAGCATTCATGTAATGGGTGTGAAGTCCGTCTGCCCCAGCTTTAATGCCCAACATGCCACAGACATAAAAGCAGGAGCTCGAACGCAGTGCATGCAATTCTTTTAAAGCACGTTGGCTGGAGTTTCAGATGGATGCCGTAGTGGACTAATGAGACAAACAAGGAATGCACAGACAGGAGCGAGAAATCTGGAAGTCGTAATCTGAGATTTACATCAGGAGGTCAACATTCAAGGCCCTAAGCCCTAAACCCCTAAACCCTAAACCCTAACGTGGGATGGTTACGTGCCTGTTCCAGGAGCCGATTCGTTGATTTCAGGCGCATGTTGATTGCAGGCTGAGGCCCTGACGAAACCCAATCTCCCCTCCCGCCAGAAGTTCACTGAATGGACTCCAAACATCGAAATTATGTAAAGGTTTAACTTGCCCCAAACCCTAAGCGCCCGAGCCCGACCCACTTCTGCCAGAAGGCGGTCGGTCCTTAGCGAAAGGAAGGCAAACGGGGCAAAGGCCACTCGGGTTCATTCCCCTGACCTGAGGTCCTCGAAGATTAGATCCGAGATCCGGCTCTTCGAGAGCCCCAAACACTGGCAAACGCTTCCAAAGCCCTTACCTCCTTTCGATCCGGGGCAATCCTGAAGTAAGAGAACCCTATACAACCAAAACCAAAAACAAGCAAAGTTAAAAACGCCGGAGCCCCAAAGCTCTGTTCCAGGTCCCTCCATGGAGGTCTCGTGCCGCAGCACGTGGCCTGGAAGGACCAGTGAGCGGGCTTGGCAAGTATTTGATCTTAGTAGAGACGCTCATGATATCCATCGTCAGCGTCATGATAAGCGTCGTTGCCGTGGTAGTAACTGACAGTTGCAGTGGCTTAGTAGTGCTACGGGCAAGAGTAAGACTCAGACTAAGATAACGAGTAATTGCAAGAGTCACACCGAGAGCAAGCATCAGACAAAAAAAAAAAAGTAAAAGTCAGAGTCGGAGCGAGCGTAAGGGAAAGAGTGTAAGAGTCAGTCGTCAAAGTGAGAAAGCCGTCGGAGTCGTAATCGTAGAAATCGTAACCGCAGTAGAAGACTGTAAGGAGTAATGGTTAGCACGTCCGCATCAATTGCTGAGGCATACGGCTTTGCGTCATAATGCCGTGACCCCAAAATTGAAACAGAGCTTCCACTGATCATGTGGAGCTTGGGGTAGGTCCCTCGGGTTCTTAGGCGGGGTGTCGAGCTTCCGGGGACTCCAGTCGCGTAGTAGTTCTCGCCCAAATTTCTCAGACCCCAGCAGGGCCAGAACCCATGAAAGGAGTGGTGGATTCCATCGAGGCCGCCTTCAGCTTGCCCGTGCGAATCTCAAGCTATGACAGATTGCCTGGGTCTGTAGAGTCGGGGTTGCTTTGATACTGTGCGGTGAGCTCGGTTCTACAGCTTTTGCTCAAGTTCTTGTTTCGTGTTCAGCGGCATTCGAGAGGTGGTCCAGCTTGTTCAGAATCCCAGCTCTTCCTGCAAATCAAAGCCCTGTGGTCACCTCAGAAAAACTCAGAAAACAGAGCCCCAAAGACAATGAGACCCCTCCCGTCCGAGCTGTGTCTGCCGGGGAGCGGACAAAGATTTCGTGATTTACCGGGGAAGGGTTGCAGGAGCCCCGATCCCAGAACAGCAGAGCAGCCTGCCTCGTGAAAGTGCTGTGCGGGAGAAGTGAGGCTGCACTTGCTGCAGCCATCGACGCGGATGCAGATGCTGATGCCTCTGGACTCACCAGCGAAGCAGTGGAAACTCGCACGGAGTCTTCAGAACAAGACCGCCAAGAGAAAAGCTGCATGCAGCAAAGAAGGAGGCTTTGCTCCTTTCTCTCTAATGATGGCTCGATACCAGGCTTGCTTGCTCAAGAGCTAGACCCGTCGCAGTTTTCGCCTCTGCCAGGGGCCGGAGTGTCGATTTTGTTTGGAGGTAGATGGTCATGTAACGTCTATCCACTGTTTTGCTAGACGTGGGCTGAAAATCAATGCTGTGTGATGCACGTTGTGGCTCCTCCAGACCCGGGGCAGTTCAAATGTTCCAGGATCTAGCAAACTGTTGATTGTGTGGCACTGTGGCACTTCGTTGCCCATGTCAACACGAGGGCCTCGCTTGAGTGAATCTGCGAGATGAGATTTCGCAGACTTCGCCCAAACCCCGGCGCGCGCTGGGGTGGGTCCCAGACACGACCCGGCCCTGAACTCCAACGAGCCAGGTGTGACCTACGCCTCGGATCGCGGTCGTGGGCCCGCTTACAGCTACGCGCCGGAGGTGAGCCCCGAAGGCGCCTGGTAAGTGGGGTTTCCGAAAATAGGGGACCCTAATATAGTACCCTAAATAATAGGATCCCTATTATAAGGACCCCAAAATAAGGTACCCTTAGTACCTTATTTTCTGAAACTCCCAAGTCGTCGTTTAGCATTCCGGCCGGGACTTGGGATGGTGGTCGTTCTCGGATGAGCGAGAAGCATCTCACTTCACAGGCCACAGCTACACTCCGCAGGGTGCCCGTACCTCAGAGCGCAAGCAGGCCGACTGACAGCTTACGTTTGGGTGCAGGATTCCAGCTTCCCTCATCGTAGCACCGACTCCCATCTCCGAGGCCATTCGCCGGCCTTGGGCGGAAAAAGACTCTGCGTTTATTTGAGATACCGAGTGTCTGCCCATGTTTCTCGAAAGCTATGAAGCCCGGTGAATTTCTATCCACCCTTGCACCGGCTCTCCTACACCTGTCGATGTCTGCCTTCCGTGCAGCATGGAGCTCCAAATGTGGGGGTCGTGGGCAGAGGCGGATCCGCAAACTCTCTTGAACGCAGATTTCCCAAGACTGTCTAGTGCTTAGTAGGGAATGGGGGAATGGATCCCTATGATAGTCCCTTAAGGTCCCTTATAGTAGTCCCTGTAATCCATTCCCCCATTCCCTACTATTCGCCAGACAGAAGAACGTAGCGGACGGCATTTCTTATTGGCGACAAAGTGGCGCTATTTCCCTTTCGCGGCCTCTGACCAAAGCATGTCAAGGGCCGTGTGGAGCCTCGCATTGGCGGGAACACAATGGTAGCTGCAGCCTAGTCCGAATCAGCGACTTTGTCTGTGGTCCCCAAATTGCACGGGGCTTAGTAAGTCCTTGAATGTTCCTCTAGAAATCACTTGAAATTGCATTCCCGGCTATTCAGAACACAGACCTTATGTGTCGCGAAGGATGCCTGAAGCCTATAGGTCTGGCGTAGGGCCGCTTTGAACAGGTGCCGCCAGCCGTGGCACGAGCAATTGTGGTCGGCAGCTCAGACTACTCGGAGCTGACATACCGTGACATACCGGTTCATGGGTCGGTGTTCCTGAGACATGGCATTATCTGTCGACGATGCCATGCAGACCAGCTATAGTCCCGTGACCAAGGCTTCAACACTGTACCTGCATAGTTTCCAAGCCAAGGGAGGCCAGCTTAGACCGTCTTAACGAGAGGCTGAATTCCGACATCCCCCACAGAAAAAAACGCACGCATCCGAAACCTATACAAGGCCCAGCATCTACTTAGACTTCAACCACAGAGGTGGCTTCAAGCACACACCTCCAGGGCTACAGCTGTGGTGTGTCGCGCCCGTTTGCCGACTGCACGCCCAGTGAAGCTCGCACCGCCCGGCACCCATTGCAGGTTCTCTGTCATTCTCATAAATACACCACTGTTGGTCTTTGTGTTAATAATGTGCCACTATTCTTACCTGTCAGCATACAACTGTTTTTATGATTATGCCAATATACAACTAACCTTATCAGTTGGGCACGTTTGTAACTGTATTACTTGTCGTGGCTGCTGCTGCTGTTGTTGTTGTTGTTGTGGTGGTGGTGGTGGTGGTGGTGGTGGTGGTGGTGGTGGTTCCTGCTCCCGCTCTTGCTCCTGCTGCTACTCTGCTCCTTTTCTTTTATGTTTGTTGAGAGGCGATTGTGGATAGGTGTGAAACTATTCCGAGCAGCATGTGTATGTATTGCTCCAGTAATGCGGTCATATGACTCGACAGCAATAGCGCCCGACAGGCCTCTTTGTCCTCGCAAGCTCTCCAAGTTTTGCGGACTCAGGGTTCCCAAATTCCCAGGCATGGGCTCTGCTGCAGACGGGCGCGTTGCCCGGTGAAGCAGCCGATGAGGTGCACGGGACACAGCTCCCGCAAGTCTTTGCAGTTTGGGAGGGCAGATCCCCTTCTTTTCAGTAGTCGAGCACAACACCCGAAAGCCTGAGATGCTTTCGAGGAGTCCTGCACCTGCGATGTTGGAGGATTTTTCTCACTCTAGTTGCTTACTTCAGCCAGGGAGACGTGGACTACAGCGAGTATGCTCCGGCGTCCCCGAAGCGAGAGCGACCCCAAAGCAGCGAGAAGGAGGAGCCAGGCCGTGCAGAGTCTGCTGTCTTGGCAGCTTCAGTGCCCAAACCTCTTACAACTTTGTAGTCAAGACTCTACTTGAGAGGGCTACAGCTACAGGCTGCAGCCTGAAGTTTGTTTTGGATTCCCGACGTATGCAGGGCTCGCGCTGGGCCTCGGCTTCTCAGCCTCGGCTCTGCTACCGTTGGCCATGGTTGGTCTGTGGCTCAGTCATGGCTCGGGCACAACCGGAAGTTGCCAGGGCCCTGAATGTCAAGGACTCAAAGCCTCCTCCAACCCTGGTCCAGAGAGCTCGGAAAGCTGACAGAAAGTATCTCCTGCCCCGGGATCCTACCGTACGATCAACGTGCGCATCGGTCGGAGACTGTTTTTATTTTCCCAACCTTCTCGCTTCTTGGTCTGCGCGCAGAGGATTCAGAGCTTCTTGATTTCTCGCAATATGCACGGCCTGCAGATGAGCGCTGCGCCAGCAACGGACGGATGATTGAATTTTGAACCTCAAGAAGGCCAAACCACAAAGCTAAGCTCCAGACCAAGATGGCTCAGGTGCCTCAATGGCAGCCTACCGGCCTGCTTCTGCCCCAGCTGTCCCATGTGTAGGAAGCTGAGTGCAATTTCGTAAACATGTTGAGGGGAAGCTTTTAGCTGTGGCTTTGTTGTCTAGGACAAAAGGGGTTTCGACAAGCAAAGGGCAGAATTTCTGGATGAGGCTTCAGGCTGTTCTGGGGTTTCAAGTTTCAGGGCGAGGTGTTGACTTCGGATGATGTGGATGATGTGGAGGCATGGAGGTACGCTGAACATTGAGGAGCAGACGAAGCCTGCCCAGCGCAACGCGCAATGTTACGGAGCAGGGGTAGCAGAGGTGCAACAAAAGGCTTCTCCAAGTCCCAGCACTAGCAGCGCTCGGGCTTGCAGCGATGCGCTGCAACCACCCGAAACCAGAAGGCGACATGCAGGATGGAAGCGGCCTTCCCCTAAACCATACCCTATGCAAACGCACAGGTTTTGGATTTCAACATGGAGACGGGAGGCTTCTTCATGGACGACGTCATGATTCGCAGGTCCGCTGCATGACCCTCGTGTCACACTCGATTCCAGTACTGTGCTGGACGCCTGGACGCCTATTTCTTATATTCCACTTCCGATTCTTGGGAGGTGGTTGGCCTTGGCCGGGTTCGTTTGAGCTACGTCTCGTCAACTTGCTTTGGGGGCTGTGGATCAGAACTTTCCCCATGTGACAGCTGCTAATTCAGACATTCGGTTCAACAAGCTTCGTCAGATCTTGCCTCGTGCGGCACGCATGGACTGTGCCGAGATGGCAAGTGGTCGGCGTCACGAGAAACCAAGTTCAACGCCTGAAGCTGCAAGCTCGAAGCTGAGCATGTGGAGCACATCCCTCAACGTTGTCTTGACCTCTTGACCTGAAGAGGAATTCGGTAGTTGTCGACACCACACTGGATCTGCGAAGGCGCCAGTGGGGGTTTCGGGTTTCTGGGCGCTTCCGGTCTCGGGGAAATCGCGACAGCAGTCTTCAGGATGCCGTGGAGCTGTGCCATGTATTTTTAGTGAGGACGTTGACTCAGTTTGAGGGTGCCTGATTTAGGCGCCTAAATAATTACCAATACTACTTTGGGGGGCGAGAGGCTGGTTCCTTATTATAGATTATAGTACAACACTTCTCACAAAACCAGCTGTGGAGTCGAGGGGGCTCACAGAGGGGATGTTTCCTGACACCCCGCCGGGAGCAGTTTACAGCCTTCTCCGGCTTCAGGGCATGGGACCCTTGCGACCTTGTGATGTTGGTGTGTGTGTATATATATATATTTATATTTATATTATATATATATATATATATATATATCATATGTTGTTTATATGATGTGATATGATACTTTATTATATTTTCATATGTATAAATATATATATATATATATATATATACATACATACGTGTGTATGTATGCGTGTTGTATTCCATTTGATTGTACTGCGCTGCACTGTACAGTCCGGTGCTGTACTGGACTGGGTTGTGTCATATTACACTATGCTACAGCACATGACATGGTATTGTGGTGGAGTCATGCAGGCAGCTGGGCAGGCGTTTGTGAAATAGTGCAATGTAATGCAACATATTGTACTGTATGTTTGTATGTATGTCCGTATGAATGTATGCAAGTAAGTGTCGTTGTGCCTACGCGTTTGTATGTCGGTATGTCTACATGCATGAGTGTATGTATGTATGTATGTATGTATGTATGTATGTATGTATGTATGTATGTATGTACCCTTGACGCACGATTGCATGTACATAGCTCTGGGTAGGTAGCTCGTGCTTGTTGTAATTATGTTGTGTGATGTGATGCGAAAACAGTATACATGACATGTTACGAAACTGCAATAATGTGGTGTATTGTAGTTCCAGTACGATCCATGAGCCAGCACAGGCTCTGGACGACTGACTACTGGGGCTTGGAGATGTTTGACCCCAACACCTGGACTCACAAGTGCCGAGCTCGGTCATCTTTCAAGACTTGTGGGGTTTGTGGTTCGGGTTGCGACCTTTTCAGCTTCGACAGTTTCGGGCAAATGGGGTATCGGGCCCACAGATTTCCTACTTTGCGCCTTCGCGTGCAGAAGTGGCACATGTCGTAGGTGCACTTCAGGACATGAAAGCCTCATGCTTTAGGATTATCGGCTCTGGGCCAGTAGGTCATAAATCACGGCAGGCGCCTTGCCTCTCATACCGTAAGCGGCCAGCAGTCCTAGCAACACCGGAAGCGCAAACCTTTCAGGTCCTTTCGGCCGCTGACAGTGCTCACATTCCGGTCTGGTCCCAAGGTAGCCACAGGAAGATCACAGAAGAAGACATGTCGACTGGTCCTTTGCGCACCTTCGCAGTTATGGCATGGCCAACACTGCCTTGTACCTCGCATGAGCTGCTTTGACTTCGGAACGGCAAGCGATTTAACCTCGCTTGGGTGGGTATCATCGGGCCGAGTGGTGCCTAGGGCTTGGGACTCGGAATTTAGTTTTCTGTCGCGCAGGAGCTAAAAATAGAGCTCAGGCCGTAGGCCTGAGTTCGGATGTCATGCTCTCCGTGCGCAGCACATCTTGCAGCCCCGGGCCTAGAGATGCAATGGAAGTCCACGAAATCGGTTTAGGGCTTGTAGGATTTAAGCTTGAGCCTCGATGGCCCTGATGCTTACCCTATAAAGCTGAGGTGGAATTACTGGGCACATGGCTTCGGCAATTGTGGCTTTCACCTGACCAATGCTACGCGGCTGCGATGGCATCGTTTCATGTGTCGGGAGACCGAGGCCCAGGACCGCTCCAGGCCATGAGGCCCATGTAGTATTTAGGATTTAGTTTAAGGATTTTACGATTTAGGATTTGGGATTAAGGATTTAGGATATAGGATTTAGGGTTTAGGGTTTAGGGTTTAGGATGTAGTCAAGGAGCACCAAATAGCCTGGTTCCTCTCGGCTTGGGCAACCCATCGAGAGGCTGGTCCTCCCAGAACGAGCGAGAGACGTGCAGAACTGTTTCTGGAAGCCCAAAAGCCCTCCTCTTTGCAGGTCCGGGTGGCGCTGCTCAAAGGATTCAAAACTCCCAAATTGACCCCAAGCCGGACATGCAGTTCGATATTTTCGGCCAATTGCTTGAGGCCTTGCTGCATGGCCTTTGCTCCCTGCAGCTGGCGATTTTTGGCCGACAGGCGAAGTTAAGATCACTCCTTCCTCCCGCTGGTGTTCATTGCTGCGTTGGGCTTTCGAGCTTATCTGCAGAGTCAGACGAAGGCCTCTCTGAGACTCCCTGAGCTTCTGGCCTGAATGGCTTTCGGATTTCAGCTCGGCCTCAAGCCCGTATCTGGCGAGAGACCGTGCGTTACATTGTCTTACATCGCAGCAGACCGCATCCTTTGAACCTGATCGCTGCCAGTGAAAGGCCTGTGGACTCCCCTGGGCCTGGGCCGCGCACGGGGCCCAGCAAAAATTCCGTATCACCATCAAGATGACCCTGAGAAAGTCAGGATTCAATCCGGACGTCTCGCGCACTCGTTGTTATCCCGAATGTATAGGCCCTCCAGTATCTGAGGCTCTTGGCAGCCCTGTGCGCTCCCCATGGTGGTGTTGTTCTCGCGTGTGGGTGACCGGGTTGTTATAACGGTGCAACTACGGGTTCACATGATGGTGCCCCAATCGGAAGTTCTTTGGAGCAGACTTTGCAAGCCTTGCTTGGTTTGACACCGAAAGGCAGCATTACAAGAAGTTGCTGGCATAAGCCTTAGATGGCGCAGCACATAGTAGGACCGTGCGCCTCTCGGAAGGGAGGCTTCGAGTCGAGGTGTCCGTGCTTGTAGCTTTTCTTTACAGGGTTTTCCAGGGGGTCCGAGGAGATTGGGGTCCAGAGATTTCTTGATCCGGCGAAAGGTTCTGGAGTTCCTGACCCTTAGCATGCCCACTCACCTAGACCATAGTTCCACAAAGTACTAGACGCCCCTGTGCTGAGCCCGCTCCTGAAACACAGGTTTGCCACTCATCCGGTGCACACCGAGAGCATCTGTTATGTGGTCGGCCGGGCTGACATCGTCTGTGCACAGGTGCTACCTGGTCAGATTGAGCCTAGCTTAGAGTGCAAAGTTTAGGCCTTAAGCCCCAACGTGCAAACCATGTAGGAAGCTGGCCTAAAAGCAGCCGCCGCCGCGAAAAGAAGCGTGGTCATGGGAGCCCGGCATAGAGGGACCAACGGAGGTGCAGAACCCCCCTTGCAAGCAGACTAATACCGGTGATGTTTCAATTCCTTTTCCTTGCACACACGACATCGCCGCGGATAGTTGGGGAAGCCCCTTATGATGTTGGATTGCAGCGTTCAAGGGGAGTCCACCGTGAATCCTTGAGCCCATGCTGCCACTTCCCAGTCTCTGAACATGCCAAGACAGTCGTTCAAACGGCCGGAACTCTGGCAGGTGCTCTTCCTGGCAACCCAGCTTTGCTGGCCAAGATTTGCTCAGGCTTAGGTTCTGGCTCACTTCCGACTGAAGTTTGTTGCGATCATCTTCTGGCTACAGTAGGATCTGGCATCTGGGATCTGCTCCAGCTTGGACGAAAGCACCGGAATTTCGTGGGTTTGGGGTTTGAAGTTGCGTTCCATGCGGAGCCAGGCTATATGCGCCCCTGTCCTCCAGTGACGGCAGCCTGTCCCAAAGCAAGGCCAGCACCTCAGCCAATGAAGGTTGTTAGGGTTTGTTTGCGTGGACTTGGATGGTTGACGCGTACCAGTAAACGGAAGGGAGGGACTAAAGTCAGGCCTCCGAGTTGTACCATTCCAGTCCCCGGCACACCTCCCTTGACGGCACGAGGCTCCTGTTTAGCCCCCTCTGGAGTTTTCCAGGCTTCAGAGTTTCAGAGGTTGAGGGTGCAAGGAGACTCTGATTGGTATGTTTAGAGTGTTCTACTTAAGACCTGCTTTTGCTTTGGTTCAGGCGCATGTTGTGCACGCAAGTATGTGCTCCAAGCCTCTGAGTTACTCGACGCCCTTACCTGTCATGCTGCTTTCCTGACTCTTCGTGTCCTCAGCGTTCGGTCAGCCTTCGAGACTTCTGCTATGTTGGACAGGACTGCACATCGCAAGCTGGCTGTAAACCCTAAAGATACCCTTTCCGGTTATCGTCAAGGCATGGTTGCGTCTGCTTTTTGCCTGCCTGTTGGTGGTCACGGCAGGCCTCTGCAAGGAGACCGGAGTTGGCCATCAAAGTTTCGGATTCTTCTGGTTGGCTCTGTGTTGGAAAGATCTCAGGTCAGTGAGTATTGCCTGCTTTCGGGAAAAGTTGAGGGCCCTGGGGTTCTAGAGACTAGTTTAGAACTCGATGTCCTTTGCCATGAGGCTCCAAAGTTTAATGTTGAAGGACAGCGGCCAGCCCCAGATGTGCCTGCCCCAAGGTTCCGCGATGGCTCCGCAGAAGGCATGTTTCATTTTACGTCAGCTAAGCGAGTAGCAGCAGCGCCAACCGCCGCCACCACCACCACGACCACCACAACCACGACCAATGCCGCTACCAGAAGAAGTAGTAGCAGCAGCAGCAGCAGCAGCAGTAGCAGTAGCAGTAGCAGTAGCAGCGGCAGCAGTAGCAGTAGCGAGTAGCAGTAGCGGTAGCGGTAGCAGTAACAGTAGCAGTAGCAGCAGCGGTAGCAGTAGCAGCAGCAGTAGTACTGATAGTAGTAGTAGTAGTAGTAGTAGTAGTAGCAGCAGTAATAGTAGTAATAGTACTAATAGTAGTAATAGTTGTAATACTAGCAATAATAGCAATAGTGGCAGCCTATGTTTTTGGGGATTTTGGGCGGGG